ATTATGAAGCTGCAGGCCCCGAGACCCAACCGCACGCTCAGACCTGCTCGCTCAGACCAGCACTTCCAGACCTATCGTTTTCTCAGACAGTGCCACCTGCTGTTGGAAAAATTGCCTAACCTGAATTCATTGATTTATAAATTACACTATTTTTCTACTCTAAATTATTGCACTATGATTGAATACATTATTATATAAAATATTAAACATACTAGATTATGATTTAATGCATTAAGTCTGTTGTATTTTAATTAACTGTATTTGTAAATAGATATTGTTCAGTTACTTAAATATTTTCAGTCATTTATTGTTTTTGTTGTTGTTTTTTGTTTTTAGATCATTAAGGATTTATCAAACTCTTTAGTATTGAGTTGAGGGAATGAACATTATCTTATTATTCACAGAATAAATGATAGTACTCGGAGTAATTTTCTCACACCAAACTTTATTTTTTTATAAATTTTCATGAGGTCCTACAAGTCATCAAGCTGTAAAAAATGCAGAGAAAAATTGTGAAAAACAATACTTGGATTAATAATGTATTTATTACATATAAAATAAAATGCTTTAAATTCTTGTTGGGGAGATTTTTCATTTCTCGAGCAATTCTTCTGTTAAATTTCTCAACTTCACTAAAAAAAATAAATGCTGTTGTCAGAAATTGTGTTTAACATAAAAAACTTAACAGCTTTTGTACAAAAAAAAATGTAAACATACCTTGCGTGATAAATGGGGCCCTGGAGGAAGACATCTTCAGCCTCCTGCCAAGACAAGCCTTGTAACTTGGAAATGCCATAAGTTATGGCCTGTACAAACATACAGATAAACCAATTAATAAAATAAAACACACACTGCAGAACATAAGCATGCTCATGTACATACATGTTTTGTGATTACCTCTGGGAGGAGACATCCACAAATGAACTCCACCTCATCATTGAAGGTCAGCTGTGTTTTGGTTTTATTAAGAATTCCTCTTATGTAGTCACAAATGATTGACTGGGACTGCTCATTCTCAATGTAGACAGGCACTTGAGAACGGGGTTTTAGTGGAAACCAATTTGACCTTTTTCCACCGAGTATATCCTTTGGGCCATAAAAGGAAATTATATTTCATATGTAAATGCACAAGTAATTAATTAATTATATTTGGCAAATAATAGTTAAAGTGTCACTTGACTAGATTTAAGTCAACCATACTCAGAGTCTAGAGGAGTAATTTAAAGTGGAACCATCTATACCACCAAATGCTGCTCTGCTGATTTTGATGTGATAATCAAGTCCACTAATCTTTTGTCATTCCTTTCCCGATCTTGAACTTCTTGGACATGTGCCGGAAGATTGGATGTGGTTTTTCTTTTCACCCTAAAAAGGAGCCGAATCTTTCCATCCAAGACACTTCTTGCCTCCTCAGTCCAGAAAGCAAATCTGTGCCCATAGCTTTTAATAACAAGACAAGACAAAATCCATAATTACTGTGTAACGTGGAGACTAACACGGAGGGATCCATTATGCAGTATTTATTAATCACAACTTCACTCAAACACACAATATGCACCGGAGTGCACACACACATCCACAGTAGTAGTATGGGTATCAAGACTGATGATGAACAGACACAGAGTGAGTTACCAGGCATGAGTGGAAGGGAGTGAGCGAGAACCAAGATCCGTTATGCAGGCTTGGGTCAAGGGCAGGCAGCAAGGATCAGAGTCCGTATAACAGGCGTGGTTCGTGGGCAGGCAAAGAGAGAGTCAGAGTCCGTATAACAAGCGTGGGTCGTGGGCAGGCAGAAGGCGAAGCAAAGTAAGAGACAGGCTGGAGTCGTGCACAGGAGATCAGGCTGGAGATAATGCTCAGAAATGCTGGCCGGGGCTAAACAAGACTTCGCCCTGAACGAGTGTTTGAGTGCGGCTTGTAAGAGGTACGTGGGTCATTAGCCAGATTCCAATCAGGTGTATGCGCAATCAGTGTAGATGGATGACGTAATGCTAAAAGTCCGGAGATGGTGGCCTCTGCTGGCCAGCGAGGGGAGTTACTGGGACCGAGTCGGTGACATACTGGTCACCGGTAAGAGAGATTTTAAGTATGTTTTGTTATTCATGTTACAAGTTGTTGTATTGACTCAATATAAATTTTTAATTTTACAGATTTACAAGAAAAATAAATAAATACTGACAAACCCATCAATTTGAAATCGTTCCATGAGTAGAAGGCACCACCACTGACGGATGATAGGTATATCCATCTGAAAGAAAGACTGTTTAGTCTGACAGTTAACCAACATGTTTTTGTTAATACATGATGTTGGGTGTGCTTGCAATAACCATGCCCCTTTTTTTAAAAGATATGTTGCTTAGAAGAAAGCAAGATAATATACACTAAAATAGTTACATTTTAGCTATGATTAAGAAAAGCACCAACAAAATAAAGTTACATAAATAATAAAATAATACCTCCTGGAATTGAAACCCAATGCCACACACCATTGAGATGGTGTACTGAAAAGAGAGAAGCCACAGTCATTTACAATGTTTACAAAATCTTTAAATCAATTCACTCAATTTATATCTTACCATGAGTACAAAAACACCACAATCATTCCCTCTTGTCTGACATGGCAAAGCCTAAAATATGCAAAGCAAATCAATTTTATTTTAGAATAATGTACAAAAAATTTAATTGTAGTAAAAGCCAAAAAATAATTTTTTTAAAGTTGATTCCTCACTGGAAAATCATATCCAGTTTTTTCAGACCATGTCCCATGATCCACTTGGTAAGCAACTTTCCTGTAAACAAAACATAGTAGTAATACTAACAATTACAGCTCACCTCAACTCTAGAACACTATGCATAAAAAAGGCTAGATGAACATAGCCAGAAGTTCAAGAAACGGCTATAGGAACGTAGCCAAAAGTGACAGAACTATAATACACGGTTAGGAAATAAATAGAAATGGCTATAGGAACGTAGCCATATATCACATAAAGGCTGAAACGTCTTAGTTTATTGGTAGACCTAAAAATTGCCCTGTATTCCTCATCTCCAAATCCTGATTCATGCTCTGCGTACAGAGAGTCTAAAAACACCATCTCTCTTCGAAGCGGCATCGTTATCTATAATGTTAAAGGTGTAAAAATATTTCATTTGAACATTATTGCTTCTTCCAAGATTTTTCAGTGTTTTATTTTAGAAACACACACATTGCAATACCAATTAATGTATGCACTAGACATTTCAATATTTTCTTACACAGACAACAAAGCGGTCTGGTCCACTGGCATTTGTCCATGCTGGAAAGGCTAACAGGTCTTTCAAGTCTGCATCTTCCCAGAATTGATCAGGACAGTTATGTCGTTTAATTTAGGTTGTACTTCTCACACAGTAAATACAGTACATACACGCACCGGTAATCCAGTAACAATGTTGTTAGGAGTTTCTTTCCACACAGGGACAACATAAAAGTCCTCAATGTATATGTCCTTGCCCTACATGAATAAAAAGAAACTGTTGACAATGACATGAACATTTTCACACAGTTTAGAAATTGTTTTTTTTTTTAAATTTGGATCAAGTTAAAACAATCTATATAAATATTATGTTTTATAGTACATACAATTTGTCGAGCCATTTCACAAATAAGCTTCATGCAGGCGTTTCCAATCTGCAATAAATACTTTGATAAGTCAATGTTTTTAATAAAAAAAAAGTTATAATAAAAAAACAGACTGCTTACATGGGAGTCCATGTCCCTCAACAATCCAAGGCTCCAAAATTCTTCTCGAATAAGGCACACTTTCCCCTCCTTCACAATTATTTCACTGCCAGGGCGATTTCGGTCCAGCACATAATCAAGCTGTAATAATAATAACAATAAATATGTGTGTGTGTGTGCGTTTGAATGTAATGGTAATTGTTCACCAGTTTCTCTTGTAATGGATGCCAGTCCCTCTCCCAAGGCTTAGTAGGTTCCAAAAAATTCAGAAGAGTGGTAGGTTCACAAGCTGTTTTTTCTGTAATTGGTCCTGATGACAGAGGAGATGTGACTGATGTTTTGCCTGGTGATGCAGCGGTCGTTTGTAAAGTCACAATATTTTTGGCAGTGCTGACAGTGGTCCTTAGAGTACATTAAAGCATCAAAATTAGAAAATAACACAATAATTAGTGAACAGAAACTTGACACTGAGCAACTGGAAAGAACAGTCAAATTACCAAGTGACATGTCCATGCATTTCTCTGTGGAGGATGGATTTTCTACAAATACAAATATACACATAAGTACAGTTATGGATATAGTGATGTATTTGTTACAAAGTAAGATAAACATTACCTAACACAACCTGGCTGTGGTCATTCATGTGAATGTTTGTGTTGAATTCCTTTTTTATGTCATGAAGACGTTTCTCGTTTTTTCTGACATTGTAATGGTGGATGATGTTTCGCATGAGGAAAACATGTGTGGATGGCAATGCCATGTTCATAAAGTAGTTATTTTTCTTTAGCTTTGAAAAAAGCTGTTCTGCAGCCTGACTGTTAACTTTGCCAGCTAGTTGAGGCACAAGACGAAGCTTCCTCAGTGAATCACGAGGATCTTTTGTGTTGTCTTCGTGAAAGCGGTCATACAGAACATAGTGTTCTGCAGAACCAGTTATTGGATGACCATCCGGATCTGGACTTTGCTTTTTTGCAGTGAGCCATGGCAGAGTTACCTGTAATTTTCCTGATTTTGCTTTTGCAATATTTTCAGTGGTTGGTTCGAGTAACCTTCCCTCGAAAGGTGTGAAAGTTATGGGTTGCCTCAAATTTGTGTGGGTGGACAGTCCACGGGCAAAGTCATAAATAACAACATTAGGCAGATGCTTCCAAGACAGAAGCATATCTGCAAAATCCCGTGGACTTTCTGCTCGCAGATTACATTTTATACTGTAAACTATGCCACAAGGACACATGATGACAGCCCAACCTCTATTGTAAAGTGTCACCCTTTAAGGTAACACTTTAGAGTAATAGTCCATTAGTTAATATTAGTTAATGCATTTACTGACATGACTTAGAAGTTTAATACATTAATTACAGTATTCATTCATCTTTGTTAACGATTTAATGTTTAAGTTAAATAACGTTAGTTCATTAATGCACTGTGCATTAAGTAATGTCAACAAGCACAACTTTGGATTTTAATAATGCATTAATGTTGAACTGTAATTAATAAATGCGGCACAAGATTGGTGACAGTGTTAGTAAATTGATTAACTAAAGGACTATTATACTGAAGTATTACCATATTCAGATTGAGAAAGTAAAGGCTTAACTAGCTTAACACTGTTTGTTCTGTAGCCAATAGAAAAACATAAATAATAAAACAAATAAAACTTTCTTCAGAAGATAATATACTATCGTAAGTACTGTGAAAATGTCCTTGCTCCATTACCTTAAATAAATATTTCACAGAAGCGCCCTCAACTGTAGTTCATGCTGCAACAGTATGAATAAATGTTAATAAGTGACATTTATTATGTGATATACCTTGTCTTTCAGAGGAGCTGAGTGGTTTCTTCGGCAGACCGCCTTTGTCCTCAACTGCTAAAGAAGGACAAAAAAAAAAAAAAAACACAAGATAGGCAAAAGTCAGTGTCAAAGCAGCAAGAAGACAATCTCATCAGCACAGTGTTTTGATGTTGTGTTTCATTGATTATGCTATGGTACATAAACAATTAAAGACAATAATAAAGGGTTATACACACTGCAAATTTTAGATTGTAGATTTAACAACCTTAGAGTTCAAATTAACAATCCCTCAGTGTTTATATGGGAACCACTATAAAAGTGTTAAAATAACACTTTTGAAAGTGTTAAAAAATTTACCACTCAGAGAGTGTTAATTGGCAAACTCTTATTGTGTAAAATATATGTAAAATGTATATCAAAATACTGGCAGCAGTAGCCAAAACCAAAGATGAAATCAACTGAGAATAAAACTTTAAATAAAATAATAATGAATGAAAAAATAAACAAATTACAAAGTAAAATTTAATTTTTATTTTCAATATCTTTAAAACAACTCATCACATTAAACAACTCATCATGGAGCTTCACTTATTACTGAGCTTTGGCTTTAATTCTGTCATGTGAACAAAAGCTCTTTATGAAATTTCTGTTGTTCATTTGAAGTCACCATGATGGAGGACAGAGTCTGCTTTAGTAGGGCTCTTCAACTTCTTGCTATAAAATGTTTGTTTTAATTTGGATGCTATAATTATTAGTGCTAATCACACTATTCTTACATGTAGCATGAAAATTCAAAAGAAAATGTAAGAGTCAGTCTGAAGAGATTAACTATGATATCAAAGCCATCTTCTCCTGCTTGTTTTCTAATTCAGTGTCATATTAGTTATGTGTGTGAAATGAATAAAATACATAAATGAAACCACTGAAGCTTTAACAATAAATGACTTTAAAAGCATGATTTACAATGTGAATGTTTGATCTATGGCAGCATTTAAAAACACTTAGACATCAACAATTAGTCTTTGAATCTCAATGATGGTGACAAACATAAAAATAAAAATCAATTAAAAAAACTACTGCAATATTACCTCCCAAACACAACACAAAATAAATAAAAAGAAAGAGATTGTAACAACATAAAGCTGCATAATTTATTTATGATGCAATGCATGCTGGGAGCTTTGTAAATTTTGTTTCGCAAAATATGAAATTTTTTTGAAAAAGCACAAAATGAAATTTTTTTGAAAAATTGCAAAATATGAAAAATTTTTGAAAAATCACAAAAAAGAATTTTTTTTGAAAAGTTGCAAAATATGAAATTTTTTTGAAAAATCGCAAAAAATCACAAAAAATGAAAATTTTTTGAAAAATCACAAAAAATGAAATTTTTTTGAAAAATTGCAAAATATAAAATTTTTTCGAAAAATCACAAAAAATGAAAATTTTTTGAAAAATCGCAAAATATAAATTTTTTTTTGAAAAATCGCAAAAAATCACAAAAAATGAACATTTTTTGAAAAATCGCAAAATATGAAATTTTTTTGAAAAATCGCAAAAAATCACAAAAAATGAAACATTTTTTGAAAAATCGAAAAATATGAAATTTTTTTTTTAAAAATCGCAACAAATCACAAAAAATGAAATTTTTTTGAAAAATCGCAAAAAATCACAAAAAATGAATTTTTTTTGAAAAATCGCAAAATATGAAAATTTTATGAAAAATCGCAAAAAAACACAAAAATGAAATTTTTTTGAAAAATTGCAAAATATAAATTTTTTTTGAAAAATCGCAAAATATGAAATTTTTCTGAAAAATCGCAAAAAATCACAAGAAATGAAATTTTTTTGAAAAATCACAAACAAATGAAAATTTTTTGAAAAATTTAATTTTTAATATGACATTTTTTTGAAAAATCACAAAAAATGAAATTTTTTTGAAAAATCACAAAAAATGAATTTTTTTTTGAAAAATCGCTAAATATAACATTTTTT